ACCTTGTGTGTTGGAATGGTACGAGTATGAGTATATTAAGAAAATATCCACATATAGGAAATATTGAAATTTCTATCAGTATCGGTATCGATATCGACACCAATACCCAATACCAGTGTCAGTGCATCCCTAATTGTGAAGAATCCAATACTAGCTAATGTTGAGAAACATGTGACAGCTCTGAAACAATAAATTGCCCATTTCTCTTCAGCAGCACGTTATAGAGAAAACTTTACATTTTTTGTTTAACGCCTATAGAGGGAAAAAAAAGTGTAGCAATAGTAGGAGTGTATTTAGCATCACTGTTCACTATAATTATAAGGCCTTTTTCAAAATTTACAGTATATCAAAAGGTAAGGTACATTTAAAATGCATTGTGCTCTTTCATCAAAATGATAAAAAAGCTCTGTTTGAAATGCCAAATTTTATGTGAATTAATAGACAATAGCGGATAGATCAGTCTAAGTATCGCATAATCAGTTCCACTTAATGATTATTTAAAGTGGCCATACCCAATTTCCTGTAAAAGAGTAAATGTGTTTTGCCCGAGTACAGATGTATTGTAAAAGCAGCTCCTAGCATCAAAATAGAACTGCTATGTGCTGTTTGCATCTATTTATAAACAATTTTTTTTATCCTCTGTGAACCAGGAAGAAGTTTTAGCATGCTACTTCCTGTTAGCATAACCGGGACTGTAAAACTGCTCTGGCCTCTTAAAGTTATGAAAAATGAATTCAGGTGAATAATTGTGATCTCAGTGATTCATTAGGACAGTGAATCGCAAACTCTTACAACTTAACATGAACTAGTTCTGTTTATTCTGTTTCAGCAGCATAAAAAACTGGCACAGCACCTTAAGTACTAAAGTTCCTTTTTTCCCCTCAAAGGTGGAATTCTAACTCAGATCACTGAAACAGGGGTGACATCATGAACATACTCAAAAACACAATTTCAAGTAAAACTACAAGTAAAAATGTGTACTTTTCAACCCAGTTCAAAAATACAAAAATAGAAGTGTAGAATATACACAACTGCATACAACTGCTCTCAGAAGCAGTGAAGCTCAAATACAAATTTTACCATTTTCCTTGTACCAATACAAAAACAATTTATTGTACAATACTTTAACTTTTTTATTTTGTTACTTTCCATCACTGATTGTTTTGGAACAAGAAATGAATCATTTTGGGCTTAAGTGTAGCTTTACCAGACTGTGCATATTTACTCAGAGCAGTCGCACACAGAGTCTTTGGATTCAGGAGTTTTCACAGCACGCTGCTGGTCAGGTGAGGCTCTGGGCCACGCTCCTGACAGCTGCCATGTGCCTGACTCAAACTGACAGCTGTGGGCCACTGGAGCTACTGTCCTATTGTACACACAGTGGTTCTCCTGTCTGTCATGTGTAACACTCACTCCCCAACAGTCACTTGATCTCAGCGGCGGCAGTAGTAGCAGCAGCGAGTAAAAAAGGTGCACTCAGGCTGTGGGATTGTTAAATCATGATGTCCATGTTCAACAGTCAACTAATAGCTCATTTCTAGCTTTGATTTTTATCAAACAATTAATTTTCAAAAACATATGTTTTACCACAAATTGTATCAAATATGTAACTAATATAGGTCAAATTTAGCATGACATTGGATTGCCAGTGTGTATATCTCTTACCTGCGGTGTGTATATCACCTTGCTACCGTTAATACCTTTAAACAACTGCAATCACTTTAAAAATAGAAGAAATTGCAAACATGTCATTTTCAATCAGCTGATGTGCCTTAGATGCGGAAGTAGTGACATCACACTTAACACTCCCACACACACACACGTGCACACACACAGACACACGCGCGCGCACACACACATATATGTATATATGTATATTAGAGGTTGCACATGAACCAGCACAGGGGAACGCATTAGCATTCTGTCAGAGTTTCAAACTGCACCAGCCCTTCACACAGCTAACATGCAGCGGAGCAAAACGCTAGCAAAGCCACAGGAGAGAAAGTACCAGAGATAAATATAAGCAACAGGGGTGGGTGATATTCGATAGTTGACTAACAAGGGTGGTTGGCAAAAGCTCTTAAAACTATTATATATCTCTATGTATATGACCCAAACTGCACTCTTAAGACTATACCTGCACACAAGTTGAAAATGCAAAAACAACTATTTATGCAGAAAAAATGTAGTTGGACTATAAAGACATATTAACTTGTGAATCTAATTCACATATAAATACCAAAAAATAAAAAATCTTCGGCTAAATTACTCACTCACTCGCTAACTTCTCCTTACTGCTGTTGTCCCATATACATCCTTATAATTTTAATAAAATCATCAGTGGATTTATACTTTTTTTTTCATATATATCTCCAATCCCTAATAAACAAGAGACATGTTAGTGTTGGAAAACTATAGGAGAGAGAGGGGAGATGAACTGTCATGACACATGAAAGTGAAAGTAGATGATGACATTAAGCAGGTACCTTACTATTGAGCCTGGCCTTCCTGGTTTGTTTAGCTCTTTCATTCCTTCTCTCAGGTGTCCGATTCCTGCCCAAAGAGGAGCCCATTTCCCTGGTCATCAGCTACAGTCCCACAGCCTAACCATCATCCACATGGCCATGCAAAAACTGCCTCCTCTCCTCCCGCTCCTTTGCCCCTCTCAGTCAAAGTAAGTACATCCATCCAGTGCTACATTGTCCCTCCCACAAAGGCAACGTGCGCGAATGGGGAGATGGAGAGGGGCGATTCTGCAGGACAGTGGAGAGAGAGAGAGAGAGAAAGAGAGAGAGAGAGAGAGAGAGAGAGAGAAACAAGAGGCAGGGCAAACCAGAGGGGAGTGAAAGGAGCAGAGTCCTAGTACCACTGGAGAGTACACTGACATTCAAATAGTGTTTGTAATACTACTATCAATATGATACTGCAAAAATGTCACAATACTATGATGAACTTTTATAATGCATTGGCTCTAGGTTGCAGTCGTATAGTGAAAAAGCAAAGTGAGCTACATTTATGCCGTTATGGTAAAGCTAACATAAATAAATTACAGCTGAATAAGAGTGCATGGCATGAGAGACTATATATATATATATATATATATATATATATATATATATATATATATATATATATATATATAGATATATATATAGATAGATAGATAGATAGATAGATAGATAGATATATATTGGAGAAGGACCGATATGGGTTTTTCCATGGCTGACACTGATACCGATTGTTTAGAATTGAGACAAAGCAATGGCCAATAAGAAAGCCAGTATTTTTAGGCCAACATGAGGGGCTGATTTTGAGTATTTTCCCCAAATTTTGTACTTTAAATTTCCTACAAACTCAACCACAAACATCTTAAGAGAGCAGTGTAGTCATGTTTTGTGCTGTTATCACTTTGAACTGAAGTCTTCAACTAAAGCTTTATGCATATTCTCTAGAAAGCAGGTCGACCAAAACAAAATATCTGCCACTGCTGGAGATTTATGGCTGATAGCCAATAAACTAAAAAGTGCAAATATCACTAAACATTTATCTGGACTAACACAGGACTAGCACAGAACCAAACCAAGTCTTCATCAGGACTGAACTGAGCTACAGCCAGGACCAAACCAGGACAAATATGAACACACAATAAGTACAGTACTCTAAAGTGCCACAATCTTCAATCTTTTTAGAGTGTGAAAGAGTATTTAATGCATGACACTGGTGGTAAAAGCTTCCCCAGAGAAAACTACACTATTTAACTTAAAGAGGTCAGTTTTACTCCAGCAGACATCTACTGATAGTAGATATGCGATACGACTTATCTGTAAACACATGTTACCAGGTCCTGCTCTGGGGACTGTGTGCCTGTGACCATATTACCAAATAGTGCATTACTAAATGATCTCTGCCGCTTCAGCCTCCTCCCCCTCCATCTCAGTGGCCACAGTGCCCAGGGCTCCATTCACTTGTCTATAATACATGGACCAATCCACTAAGACTTGTGGTTGTCCTCGTGACTCAGTTCAAGACTGAGAGAAGAGCAATTTCAACTTAATAAACTCAAAAATAAGATAGAGGTCAGGATTGCATAATGACTTGTTTCAATAGTGTTTCTGGTTAAAATGTAGCAGGATAATGGACATTGTTACAAGTATAAATTATCAGGATCAACTTTTAATTTTGGAAAGTCGTTTTGAAAATAATAATCACACAATGATGTGTTCTGAAAACCAGACCAGATTTTTTTTCAAGAAAAAAACGAAAAAAAAACAAACAAAACTGTCCATTCTGGTTTGTAATGATATTAGACATGTGGCATTAGCTGTAGTGTGGTAGTGCAGTAAAATGTAGACAGTATAAACCTCATAGTAAACCTGAGCCTGAGGCTCCTCACTGTGTACCAGTGAAGTAGGCTAATGCTTGACCCAATGACACAGGGAGCCTCTGCCGCATGAATAGTGGGCAGAGATACAACTAAAGCTGCACAGAGTCACAATACATTATTGCTGCCTGCCACACATGATGTTAAATACAGAATAAGAGTACATACAGTTTGACTAAACGCAGCATAGGATGAGACATTATTTAGGCAATACGTCCTTTGTAAATAGATGTTTTCTGTGACAACATTAGTGCCAAGACCGATGCTTCATAATGAGCAGCTGTGCTCAAGCTACAAACAGATTCAGTGACTGATCCACCACAAAATTATAGAGGGTTCACAATCAAGAGCCTGAAGACTGTTCATGTATTTAATACATTTAAGGACCGGTATATGTGAACTGTTGATTTCCAAAGTAGAGAGAGCTCCTTTGGTTCAATGTTCCACTCTCCGAATATAACCTGTGTGCAGCTGAACTCCAAACAGACAGGACAATGAGAGCATGACTCATCCTCCTAACACTCAGTCTCTCTCATCATGTACCTATGCCACTCTTTCATTCAAAACATGGGGCTCACAACACACAGAGAGCAGGTAGCTCCTACAGAAGAGATATTACCTTAGTGTGGAGCTTTGATAACTGCTTCTCATCCAGGTAGGTTTGGGTGTAGACTCGTCTTTTGTAGCGAAACTAAAAAAAAGAAACAAAAGATTGCTGTTAAATGGTATAATACTTTGTAATGCACCACATAATGGCCTCCTTCTCTGATTTAACTCAATGTCCAGACCTTACACTTGCTCTTCAGGTCACACATGTGTGCAGAGATGTCTCCTATGATATGAAATCATAACAAGATGAACCTGGAGCAACCAGAGCCTCTCTGCTCGATTAAACAGCCAATGTGGAGGTGCACATAAACGTGACAACCTGCCGCTGAGAGGAACTAGCTCCTGGGGCCCTGCTCTGCTTGGCTGCCCCGGGTTCAGTCTCATCTCCCCATGGAGGGCACTCTGGCTCAGTGTGTATCCTCTGTCTAGGAGTGCAGTGGATGACCATTACAAGCATTGATTTATTTCACACTTGGCATCCAGCCAAGCCTTTAAGAGTTATTGTTGCAACTGATCATGGCCAGTAAAATCAAGTTAAAACAACAAGTCCAATGACTTACGTAGGGCTGTAGGAGTTCACTTCAGCTATTTGAACAGTAGTATTTAGCAAATAACAATAAGTCTAGGAATTATTCAAGTTACAACATATTTTGAGCAAATAATTACAAGTCCTGTTTTAAGTGGAACAAAGCTAACTATTTAGTTTAGACTTCAGCAAAACTGCTCTGAAATGCAAGGATTTTCTGGCCTAAGGCTTTATTAGACAGGACAGCTGTAGTGTGAAATGCAAGCACCTCTGGCCGGGGGCAAACTCGCGACAGCCTTAAACCACTACACGGGCGAAGCACAGTGCATGGGATTCTGGCACCGGTTTCATTGTTCAGTTTTCATTTATAAATGTTAAAGGATATGTTTAAATATGCATTGTGAATGGAAACATTATTTTAAAACCTAAATTGCAAATCTAATTACAATCACAGTAGTTTTCAGAAAAATCACAATTACGTGTTTTTCTAAAATGATGCTACTCTGGTGTAATGTACGGTATGTTGCATATCATATAGTTTAAAATTACACTTTTGTTGCCTCTTTGTCCAAGTCAATGCATGTGAAACACCTGTAATATATTTAGCTGGTGTGACCCTCCAGTTTGATTTGACAACAACTTATAAACATCCAACACTACTTGCTTCAGTTGTTAGAGTTTCTGATGCACTATAGCGTAGCTCCCACAGTTACATCACACTGTGCTGTCTAAGGGTTAACTTTGATTCCACTCATATATTGAATATAAGCAGGATGTGGCAGTCAGTTTTCATCTGGTCAGCTCATGCACAGTCGCATATTCGACATGAGGAGCTTTTGCATTCTTTTAACCTTCTGGCCCCTGTTCACTGCTGCCTTTAACAGGAAGTGTGACTGTGCTCCTCAGGGTAATCCACTGCAAAGGAAAGGTTTCGGAGCAGCTCACCTGAACCTGTCAATCATATCAAGTGGAGCCCGGAGAGCAGAGATCAATCAATAACTTACAGCAGAGAGGCAGGTGCCTGCGCACTGCACAGGCACACATTTTCATTCAACTCCTTCACTATTTACTCGCAATGAACACTCAGAAAAGTATATTTGTGAGTGTTATTCAAATCTGAAAATGCTGCTAAACATGAAGATAAAACAGCCCTACAATTACATGGTGACAGCTGCTGCTGACAGTGTCACTCTTCTCTGTGCTATGAATGACATATCATGACAGAAACATTATGCTCTCTACAAAATCACGCCCACAGTACTCACACTTGTTTCACTCTGATCAAAAACAGCTTCTGATTAATAATGTAAAAATGTTTATGTTTAAACAAAGATTATTTGAAATGCAAATGCACATGCACATCCGGCACAATGCTTTCAGTGAAACTTTGAATCAAATGTAGTTTGGGGCAGTGACTGAGGTGCTTAGAGCAGGATCAATCTGAAACAATGACATTGGGATTGACAAGTGCATAGTAAATGGTCAGCTTGGGGAACTGTGAGGTACATAGTACAGTAGCTGGATCAGCTGGAGAGACTGACAGGAGCATAGTATAGTGTCAGCTGTGGGGAGTGAGAGGTGCATGGTACATGTTCAGTTTGGGGGAATGGCGGGAGCATAGTACAGGGTCAGTTTGAGGGAATGACAGGGGTTGTGATGGGTGCATAGAACAAGGTCAGTTTTGAAGAGTGATGAGAGACTGGCAGGTGCATAGTACAGGGTCAGTTTGGGAGAGAGACAGGTGCATAGTACATGGTTGGTTCTGGGCAGAAGCAGGTGCATAGTACAGGATCACACATGGTCATAGTCTTACCTCCAGGTAAGGTACAGGTGCAATGGATGGGAAAGGGTATTCTCTAAGCTGTCTCTCTTCATCCAGGAACTTGCCAGCCTTGCCGTTGAAAGCAGGTTGGAACAGGCCGTAGTTGAGGACATCCTTCAGGCTCTGGTTAAGGCTGCATAGGATCCGTTGTTTGGACAGCCAAATCGGAGCATCCACATTGAATTTCAAACATTTCTGGAGAGACAAGAGCCGAGAGCAGAGGAGAGAAAAGGGTTAGTCGCCTGTCAGTGCACCTGCATGGGCTAAATCTGATGAACAAATATTGTATGATTTTATTACAGTTATACACAGGATATTTAATGGGGCGCTATTTGTAGACTAAAGTATCTCTTTACTCTGACTGTGTATCTGACCCAAATTAAACTCCCAAGACTCCAACTGCAAAACAGAAAAAAAAAAAGCAGATCAAACTCACTCTGATTAAGTTCCAAATCTTCTGCTGCCTCATACAATATACAGTTCCTTCTACTTTCTATTAGTTCTAAATATCATAATTAATCAGCTAAATGACTAAAGGCTTAAAATTGTTTTTTCATCACAACATATTAGTAGTAGATTCTCCAGTAGTACCGTGTTCTTAGACTATAGACTTAGTCTTAGACTTTCTACACCTATTCAGAAATTTTGTTCAGTTTATGTGATATTAAAAGTTGTTATAATAACTACACTACTACAGCGTCATAAAGATGTAATTCATAATGAACAAATAATTTATTCAGACTCATTTAGGTTTACTAACAACTTAATTAAGACATTAGGGTTATTAATTGAGTAGTTACTAATTACTTATTACTTATTTTATTTCATTATTTTTACTTTTATTTTCAATTATTATGAATTAAGTTTTTCTTAAGGCTAATTAAGGTGTAAGTATTTCAAAGTGGTACCAGTAGTTTCAGAGTTAAAATTCATCATGTTAATTTATGCAAATTTTGAGACATCCTGGAATAAGTTAAACTAAACAAGTAAAACTAAACCAGTTGGTTTAGTTTAATAATTCATCATTCAATTCATGTATTTATTTATTTTTACTTTTTGCAGTACTCATCACCCTTCAAAATGAGAGCAAACCCACAGCGTGTACTCCAGAGCTGTAGCTTAGTGCACTGGGTGAGTCAAATGGCACTACACCCCCTGCTGGTCAGAGGGCAAACCTTTTAACGCTCTCCATGTGAGAAGTTTTATGCAGACGGATCATTCTGTGTAATTCTGTGTGAGGCAGAGTGACTGGCAGAAGCAGGGCGAAAAGAGCAGATCTGATCAACACTACGGACACAGACAGGCATGACATAGAGTGTGGACAAGAGGAGACGCTGTGGACATGCAGTGACAATGTGGACATAAGGAGGCAGTGTGGATATGAGGAAACACTGGGGACATGAGGAGACAGCGTGGACATAAGGAGACAGTGTGAGCAAGAGGAGACACTATGGCTATGAAGAGACAGTGTGGACATGAGATGATGCTGTGGACATGAGGAGATAATGGGCTTCATTAACAAATCTTTTCTTTAAAAATGTCCGTATCTTCCACTTCAGGAAGATGCTGAGAGAACTCAGTGCCAGATTCACAAAGCGTTCTTAAGCTGTCAAATCCGTTCTTAGGTGACAGTTGCACCTAATTCACCAACACCCAACTACGAACACCTTCATGCTCATTTACATAGAAAATAAATATGTATTTGGTTAGCAACACCCTTTGAACTTCCAAATAAGGCCAAAATGGGTTTGGTCTTATGACATGTGAAAGCGCGAGGGAGAGAGTGAATGAGGTCAGGTGGAGCGTGTTTAAACTACAGCTGTTTTACAGTTTCAGCTGCAATTTCAAATGTCCAAGTTCACATAAACACACTCAGGGAGGGAATATTTAAGTCATAAACTTACTGAAATAAGTGGCTGCTTTTATTGGGGGGTTGGGGGGGTGGAGGGGGGCTGAGGTAGGTGAGGTAGGTAGAGTGTGTTGGTCATGGGAGGTCAGAGGGGGTGATGGGGGTGTTGAGTCCAGAGGCCCATATGGAGAGCCCTGGGGCAGTGTGAAACAGACACAAGGAGACGCTGTAGAATAAAAAATGTGGGCATGGATATTGTGGACAAGAAAATACAAATTGGGAAAAAGAAGAAGAAGAAAATAAGAAGGACAAATGAAAAGACACTTGGGTGATGTGTGAGGACATGTGAATGTTTATGTATTATGGTGATTCCATGGCGGCGTGACATAATAGAGACAGCAGTGGGACAGCAGGGGGACCATTAGTTTGCTTTTACTAAGCACGTGTATGCCAGCCTTATTCACACACTACACACCAGGCTAACATGACTCTGCACTCCACACAGCTGTACGCATCACTCTCAGCCTTAAGAAAAATAAAAGGAATAGCACATGTGCTGGATACTAGGGCGATCCTTTTATCATAACTAAAAATAAATAGCCAGATGATGAAATTATGACTTGTGTGAAAAATAGGTTTACAGTTTGACATGAAAGCGCTGTTGGCAATCCATGCTTAGAATCCATGCTTCACAGCAAGAAAATTCCAGGTTCAACTCCCAGCCCTTAACTTAGTGTGTGGAATTTGCATGTTTCTCCCTGTGTCTGAGTGAGTTTCCTTAGGGCACTATGTTTCCACCATCAACCCAAAACATGCACCATGGATCAAATCATCCAGCTAAGGTAGGTTGACTAAGTCTAGCTCAAGATCTGGAGATGGGTCTCATCTCATGACTGGTATTGAAAAATGGGTCTAATGCAAAAGAAAAAAAAAGAAGTGATCAATAAAGTACATAGACCAGACATTTTAGGTGCTTATAGATCTGATCTGTGAAGAGGTGAGCTCACTCACAGTAAGTAAGCATGTGTTCCGTAGTTGTTCTTTAAAGCAATAAAAACACCGGTAACTGAATACAAGACAGATACGTTTAAAGGTGCACTATGTATATATATCTGGTTAGGGGTTTGTCACCTGCTTGTTTCAATAGATAGGTCACTCATTTGCCTGGAATGTTCCACAATATCACATCAAACAGCTTTACCTTGGTTTTATACACACAGATCTGGCCTGTAACTAGGTCTGGTTTGGTCTCCAAGAAGAAAGACAGGTTTAATGCCAGATTGTGAAACTTTCCAGACAAAGCTATAACATCTCCATGGACAAAAGAATATGACTCCACCAGAAAATTTACACAAAGCACTTCTAATGCCATTCTGCGGAACATTCCATGCAAAAGGAATAACATCTCTGTGACCTTTGACTTTTTGACATTTCTCAATGAGTTTGATAGGCTCCTGCCCATCATTGCCAGACAGATTGCACCACCACATCTTATGACCTAATATGAACTTAAGTGCCATCCTAATTATGGCGTATACGTGGATGATGCATGAAGACCAGTTTGAGCACAGTATCTGAAAGCCACAGATGGCACGCGCACACAAAGGAGGAGACAGGCCATTGTGGGTCCCTTACAGCAGTATGTGATGTATGGACAGAGCACAGGGCCGGCTCCACTCAGCACTCAGCACAAAGAAGAATGGAAACTCAGATGACTCTCCATAGACTCTGCTGTCACTGCCCATGTGAAATATACACTCATTAAAAGTACTCAACCTTCAGGGAGAGAGGCAACAACGCTCATATTTACAAACTTATGCTGGCTCTAAAAACATCATAGCCAGTATTTAATCATTCAGATTTTTTAAGCAGTTAAGAGACATGACATGAGCACACTGAATATTCAACTTGTCTTATTTGCTTTCTGTCTGGCTGAAACTGATGAGACTTTGACCAACTGTATTGACCCACAGGGAAATTACTTGGACACAGTAGCTAACACAATACAATATAATTACAAAGAGCAAAAAACTAAATGGTAAAAAATAATGTATACAGGTGGTGAACTGTATTGAAATTAAGGGTGGGTTATATGCCAATGAGACTTATAGTGGTTGTATGTCTTTAAGATTTAACTAAAGGCCCCTGCATCTTCTGAGAGTTATGCTTCCCTGTCATTGGAAAAATCCAGCTGTCACTCATACAGAGCCTAATGGAGGCTGACCAATAGGAGGAGGAAGTGGGCAAAAGTGCTGCTTTACAGGCAGTACTGAATCAAGATATCACCAAAATTGTATATTGTCACATGAATCAACATATCATAGAGCCCTCTTTGAAATACACTCATATATAAGCCAGTTTTGTGCACTTGTGTTATGTCACTAGAGCTGTGGTCCTTCAGTTGTGTAGTTGAAATGGTTGTTGGTATTGACTTGTTTTATTAGCATTATAAGGATTTATAAGGATTGGATATCTGCAGAAAGGAGAATTCATGGAGTGAGTTAGCTGGAGTTTGGTTTCGGAGTTTCATCTGTCTTTTCACTGATGAAGATGCTGTTTAGTACTTCTCTATATATAAATAGTAGGTTTTGCTAACCCCAGGCTCAGACTACATGTGGTGCATCTCCGGTGCTATGGCCTCAGGAAATTCGAATAATTCAAATTAATGACAGGAGCTCAGACCACATGCAGTGCAGAGCAGTGGTGCAGGCGGAGGTGCCCCGGTGCTCTGGATTCTTTCAGTTGGGGGTCTATTTTGGCCGGACACCAGAGGCCACAGAAAGTCTTTTTCCTTGATAAGTGGTTAATTATCTTGTGAACATGCGGTCTTGTGTGTTCAAAGGCAGTAACACAACAGTAGAGCAGAGTACTGCTCTGAATGTGACTGTCATACCACAACAAAACTGCTCCAACACAGGAGTCGCAGCTGGCCCAGGTGCTTCTTCAATTTTTTTTACCCTCTCACACCCTGATTCAAATCTAGTCCATTTGATTTAAAAATTTAAGAATTTAGTTTTGTATTTGTGCAATATTCTGCTACTTACTACAAATGTTCAATTTTATTTGATTCTTCGGAGGAAATATTAACTCCCCTACGGACCCAGTTGCTGCAGTGGACCACATCAAGAGGCCACATCTGGTTGTAAACAAAACAGTGTATTACTCGGACCAGTCACAGGCTGCTGCCATTTGACAAAGTGTCCATTCCCAACACAGCGGGACATTGTGTCTTTTTTTGCTCCTTCACAAATGAAATGAACACAGCAGCTGTACACATTTGTGCTTTGAACTATTACCACCTTAAACTCCAGGGACAGACTGGAAAAAACAGCATTGATTCAATTAA